AGCAAGACTTTAGCGCCCCCGGACAGGGACCGACGATCCGCGGGGTTGAGGAACGCACACCGCTTTACCGTCCCTCGATACCACTCACTCACCGACACGGTCAAGCACAGCCGCATATGAAAGTATCCGCATCGCAGCAATCGGCAGGCTCACGTCTCTCTTGGAGAAAGAAACTATAAAAACGGACCCGACTCATTCGACTCGAATTAACATACCCGCGTATGACAGGGAAGAGTCCTATCATTGCGTAATGTGGAAAAGAAAGGGAGGGAGCAAACGGGCTCCTCATCCTCCGGAAGACGGCCAAGGCTCCACATCCGCGTCCGCATCCGGAATCGCCGCAAGCCCGGGATCCGCTCTACCCGCCGCCTCGGCCCCTCCCTTGTCCCACGGTACCGCGCTCTCCGATCCGGATCTTTCCGTCCCAGCCGGCATCGCCATGGGTATCAAGCTTGCCCTCCCGCCTGAAACCCCGATTCCATCATCCTTCCCGACCCAAGACGCATGTCTAGCGCACCTTCGCCTCTTAACAGCCTTCAACCGCCTCAAGACGGAAACAGGGTACCGCGATGGTCTATGGGATATTTGGGATGCGCGGGCCGGTACCACCATTACTCCCATGAAACACACCGGAACACGGAATGGCGATGGTGACAGCAACGGCACGAAGAGCGAAGAACACAACCACAAGACCACCAAGAGAGCGCCAATGGATCCGGACACTGGAATCAAACCTGAACTCGACCTGGATAGCTTGATCAGACTCCGCGAAAAGAGGTGGGCAATCTACCTCGGCCGCGCGGTAGACCGCTACGCAGCATGGTGGCGGAGTTTCGGCCCAGACATGCTCCTCGAGAGCGACATGCTCGTCATCGGGTCCAAACCTAGTCAGTCGTTATCCTCGTCTAATGGAGGAGATCCAGCCGGGTGTCAAAGCAAGGCCCAAGGCGAAGCCGAGCATGAGACTGGGGAGAGTAGACAGCATCGGAGCCGGGCCCGGTATGAAGGGTTCCCCGAGTCGAAACCGATGGTTTGGCGCGAGGAGATGCTGCCACCTCTAGATGTGCTACTCGTCTGGCACGCGCATATGCTCAACCCGAGACTCTACCTTGAGGTCAATAGACCCCCTTGTCGCTATCGCAATCGTCGTCCAGATACTGACATTCTCAAAGGACTGCCTCCGCTACGGTCACAGCTCCCTCTGGGCAGCAGGAATCCCCTGGTCCATTGTCAACGCCGCCATCATCAGCCCAAGTTTTGAATACGTCGTCTCGGACGCGTGTAAAGCACATTGGGAAGCGGACACGAACCTCGCCTGGTACAACGAAGACGATCCTGACGCCAAAGATGTACCGTGCCCTGCGTGTTCTACCTTGGTTTCCATCCCGTGGACGACGTGTGGAGTGTCGCGGAGCGATTCGAGTGCAAAGTGAGTTTTGTCTCTTTCAGCAGTCTACTCCAGACTTTTCTACCTAGTAGCTCTAGCATCCCGCTATTATGGAAGCCATATATCTGACAATACTTCCAAAGACAACTCGACATCGTAGGCCAAGGCCTCGCCGACGGGCGACTAGCCCACGCATGCCCCTCGTGCGGACTCATGATGACCCACGAATCTCTCCGGGCAGCAAAACTTCGCGACGACATCCAGGCTTCGGTACAATCCAACCATGCCATGCCGGGAACAACCCTCGACCTCGATACAGGTCTACCCAACCCTTTACAATACGGCTCAGACGATATGTCAGGGGAATGCCCAGACCGGCTCTTCCCCACCCGCCTGGCCCGTCGCGGGCTCTCGGAACACATCCTCGAGATGTTCAAGCCCAGAAACAAAACTGCCCCGAGCATTATGGCCGTGCGAGATGCCATGGAAGAGAGCTTTACAGGTAAATTTGCAGATCCCAAGAACTTACGTGAGGTGATGAGCCGGCCCGGCCAAGAAAATGTGACGGCCTTCCGTCTGAGTCTAGACGCAAAACGGCAGACGAGAAAGATGATGTCGCGTTACTGGGAGAACTCGTCGCCTTTCTCCATTGACCTCGTAGGATGTGTGATGCGCCAAGCAACCTTTACTGAAAAGATGTGCAAGGTGAGGGCTTCCTCTCTTCACATACTGAGCTGGCCAGGTGACTGATCTTGGCAGCTCAACTGGTTGCACTTTCCTACAGCGCGGGATATCATGGGAAAACTTTTAGAAAAGTACGCCCGATTCGTCGAGATCATCGCTATTGCCTCGTCCACAGAGGACAAAGTTGCCGTCCCGACACTTGACGTCGACCTCGCGTGGCACACGCACCAGCTCTCTCCCCAGTCCTATTTTGTCTTCACACTCGCAAAGACGGGGGCCTTTGTAGATCACAATGACAAAGTTGACGAGGATCGACTAAGCACAGCCTTTGAGTGGACAAGTAAGACATACCAGGAAAAGTACGGCGAGATCTACTCGGAGTGCAAATGCTGGTACTGCGAAAGTGAGTTTCCCTATCAGTACCACCACCCCAGAGCATTCTTGATCTCTCCAGCCCGAGGGGGAAGTCGTGATATCGCATGTTCTCGCTGCTCGGCGCACTCCGATGGTGATAGCTACAATGAAATTGGCCGTGATTACTGACTGCAGATGTGTTATCTGTAGCCGTCAGGGTGATGGCCTTGCCCACGACCAAGATGTTCGGAATAGGCAAGGAGGAAAAGCGTAAGGCATCTTGCAACCACTACACTTCCCCGCGCCCCCATGTGTGCCTGTGTTACTTTTAGAATCAGCCACACTTACTTACCAAACCCCTGCTGAGCGTACATGTACCTTAGTTCTCGAAGCATGGCATGCAGCCTCCAAGGCCAACAATATGCCCATGCCGCCAGCCGCCGAGTCTGCGCATATCTCGTCGCATCCGGCGGTGCACACCAACGAGACGACAGCGCAGCGGACAGCGACACGTCCATTGCGTTCTGGGTTCAGAAATAGACTGGAAGAAGCGCATTCCAAGGCGCGCAAGAGGGCAAGCGAGGCTTTCAAGGTGGACTCTGGCAAGCGCATGGGACCTCGCGGTGAAGATAAGACGTCATTCTGGGGGAAAGATATCGCCGTGGACGGACCTTGGGCATCGGTCGTGGCCGCCGTGACGACGAGCACCCTGTATCCCGCTGGGCCAGGCTTCGTGAACATGGGCCCCGGAGCTGTAGGCAGCTGCGCAACGGGAACGTGTGGAGGAGCTACTGGCTGCGGCTCCGAGCTGCTGGGCATGTGCTCGGCAGGGTGTGTCGGGGTGAGTGGTCCTTCTTCGTTTGGTCAAGCTTATTACGTTCCGCGGGATATCTCCCTCCCCTGCAATCTTCTTATCGCTGCCGAGGCTTGAAGTTGCCCTGAATCTTGACTGATATCCAAGTGACGGCGACAGAGTGCCTGGTTTGGCGGAAAGGCCGGATGTACAGGTATGGGTGAAGGCGGATTTGACTTCTGAGAGACAATCAAACAGTCAGGTTGTCGATAAGACACAGAGGCTAGGCGGAGGATAGCAGTCGGCCGAGATATTCTCCATGATAAAGAATGGCGTGTGTGTGAAGTTGCAACTCGGTGCCGCTTAAGCTTATTCAGATGCAAGGTCCGATCGGAGGTCGGGATGTGGGCTCTTTTGCGTCTTGCCATCCTGGGGAGGTCCGCCTCGCACGAGTAATGGGATTCTGAGAACGCCAGCCTATGGGGACGGGCAACGCTACTTCGAGGTATGGCGGGAAACTATGTTTAATGGCCAAGCAGCGAATCCGAGCCCATGTTGTACACCGCTTTGGGATGACGATCGCTATCAGCGCTTGCGCAGGCCTGCTTGGCTGTCGTAAATGTAGTCCAACCAGCGGTCGAGATGGCTTCTCCAGGTTTGCGGCGTTGCGGTGTCGAGTGGTGATCCGGATCTACCCTCCCGTCGACCTGCCTCTATTCGTCTGGCGTGAGACATTAGGCTTCGTTGTTTATGTGCAGCACGTCTGCGAGCCTGCAGCCCGTGGGTTGCCTCGTTTCGATTCTCGAGACCCTGAGAGGTTGCTATCACGAGCGTCACCTCCAAGGGCAGGCTTCCTCATGAAGTCTTGACCACGCATCATCGGCAGCTGGCCCCCAAACAGGAAGGTTCGTGAAAGACCCCGTGCGCTATTGTTGAAGGAGCCGGGACATGGAGGGGTTGACGTGCAGCGGACAGGACCAAGATGGAAGACAGATTGACAGAACGACCAGGATTTCGCAGCCAAGCCATGTCGCTTTTCGCAGGTGATTGACAGGGACCGATAAGATAACGTGCCGGTGCCGGGAGACGTGAGTGGCTGGTCCTCGACTCTCGTGAGCTTGGCGTTAAGGTTGGGAAACTTGGGATGGACCAGGCTTAAGGTTGACGAGAGAGCGGGAGCCGTAGCGCGCCGTGCATCGGCACTCAGAGACCGGGAAGTTGACCAAACGTTTAGATTACCCCGCCAATAACACGAGAGATAAAGGCACACGGAGCTGTCAGCTCGCCCACAGAACCCTGTGGTCCCCCCTGCGAAAGCCCTATGAGACGGTCGCTTTGGGTCGTACTGTGGCCGGACAGAGTGCCCCTTTTCAGAACAGCGCGCCGTTTCATCAACTCAATGCCGCACCGTCGGCGGGTTCCTGGAGGGTCAGGCTGGAGATTAAGACATCAGGTAGACAATCGTGGGGTCGGACGACGTGGTGACTGGCTCGACGGAGCTGCAAACGACATGAAGGTGGGGTTCGACGTTGTACAAGCGAGGGAAACGCAGACTTGGGAACTCTCGCGACCCGCCGACGAGGAAGTCCTTTTGACGACAAACGAGATAAACCGCAAGGACGTCGACGGAAGATATAAATCACGGCAGATCTCCCGCTCTCAGTTTGTTGTTTCTGCTTCATCGTCAGTGCCAAGCCACCCGTTCACCACATCACTCCAGCCTCCATCCCAGTCCTGTCTTCTCACCCGGTCTCATCCATCCGCCCTTTCGCCACCGTCACCATGAAGGTCACTGCTGCTTTGTTCATGATCGCCGGCGCGGCCGTCGCCTCTCCCGTCCCGGCCCCGAACCCCGTCGCCGAGCCCCTGCCGATGCCCACTCCCGTAAGTCCGAATTTTGTTGTGACTGGCTGTTGCCGAAGCCGTTTCTGACATTTTGCATACAGCCTGGCATCCCCACCGCCGCTTCGGCCAAGACCCAACTCGCTGCTCTGACCGTTGCCGCCTGGACCAACACCGGCACCTACGACCGTGACCTGTTCCCCACCTGGGACACCATCTCCGGCACCTGCAACACCCGCGAGACTGTGCTCCAGCGTGATGGCACCAACGTCGTTGTCAACTCTGCCTGCTCCGCGACCAGCGGTACCTGGAAGAGCCCTTACGACGGTGCCACCTGGACCGCCGCTAGCGATGTTGACATTGACCACATGGTTCCCTTGAAGAACGCTTGGATCGTAAGTCTGCTCTGTGCGCAATGTTAGAATTAAAGGTGCATGCTAACATGGGACGACAGTCTGGTGCCGCATCGTGGACCACTGCCAAGCGTGAGTCGTTTGCCAACGATCTCACCCGCCCCCAGCTGTGGGCTGTCACGGATGAGGTCAACCAGTCCAAGAGCGACAAGAGCCCCGACTCGTGGAAGCCCCCTCTGACCAGCTTCTACTGCACCTACGCCCGCTCCTGGGTTGCGGTCAAGAGCTACTGGGCCCTCACCGTCACCTCTGCCGAGAAGACTGCCCTCACCTCCATGCTCAACACCTGCTAAGCGGAGCAACTTTGGGATGATGTTGACAAGAGCGTTTGAATTTCTTTAGCGTGTCGTGTCCAAGTGTTTCTGTTTCGGATCTGATGATCGTCAGCGACCAGGACATGATTTGGTGTTTTGTCTATACAATTTTCACTTCTTACTATTCCAAATTTTCTTCCCAAGGGGACCGCATTGATTCGAGACCGTCGGGAGGACGTGGACACACAAAGACGCAGAGGATGTGCTGGTGGATGGTCGAGGGACAGGTTCGCTTGGCGCCAATTACGAGACGACTTATGATGGATTGACCAGATTGATGCAAGGGGCGACGGGACAAGTCCATTGTTGCAGAATGTGTTTTCTCAGGCCGTGCAAAGGGGGACAAAAGATGCAGGCTGCTCCGTGTTAGTTAGTCTTTAGTCCCGCTAGGACGGAACATCCAAAAGAAATGCAAAAAGCAGATTAAAAACAATGAATAAGGATGGCCCAGAGAAGCCAAGTGAAGCGTCTTTAGAGACTTTGATGCAATCGGTCGTTGTTCTACTCACTGGACGCCTGTAGCATATGCGCGAGGTAAATTTGATGGTACTCGAGCGGACGCATCCTATTCCCAAGATACGAGACGGCCAACCATCTTGGCGCCTCGGCTGGCGTAGATGGGCCACAATCCCCTGAGATGCAGGGCTGTGTGGCTGCTTGCAAATGTGGCTAGTCGACTGGAAATTAAAGTGGCCTCGCTTGCTTGCGCTCAAGATTGCCGAGAGTGCCTGTGTGCGTGGGTAAAGATCATCTTCAGACTTCCATGTCGGTTTAAGCGTAAGACATCGTTGACGGGGGAAAGATATTGAACGAGGGCTGGGAATGGGACATTGTGGATGTTGTAGGGGGTGATGGACGTCTGCGGTCGAGTGGCGACGGCGTCATGGGCGCGCCGCTGGCTGGTCGAAGCTGTCAGGAGACGAACCGGTGATGTGGTTTGCGAGGAATGAAGAGGTTGGGAGACTTTAGAGTTGAGCTGGAGAGGAAACAACATGACAAGGGCTGTGGGAGACGGAAACGGCGTCCATCTGATGATTCAAACACGAGATGGGCAGGAACCCCAGCTGGATGCAGAGGGTTTGGCGTGGCAGCAACGGCGCGACCGGACACGAGCTGGACGGCAAGAACGCGGTACGTACTCCGTATCCGTCTCGACTCTGGGCAGGTTCACTGACTGAGGGAGGGAAGGTGCAGGTGCAAAGATGGGAAAGAGGGAGGAAGCTGAGGTAATCGATGTTAAAGTCCCCGCTTGCGGCAGCCACTGAGGGTCCCTGAAGCCAAACCAGCTGGCTGGGGAGAAGACGAGGGTGCACACCACTGCATGTATCTCTTCACGCACCTTTCGCAGCCAAGGTACTTGGACCCTGCATTAGCTCATCACTAGGAAGGTCCCCAGCCTCCCATCTGTTGCACTCTTTCCCGCTAAATGGCCAATAGGTGAGGAAGGTGGTGCGCCTGGCAAGCGCGGATTCGTTCAAGCGAAAGGGAAGGCGCCCAGAAATAAAAGCAGACTAAGCAGCGATTCTTCGTGTCATCTCACGCTTACTGGCCCTAATGCAGCAGGAAAGAAACACAGCCTCTCTCGTCTCTGTCTTGGTTGTGAAGGAAGGTACCTGACTGTAATTCTGAGGCCCAGTGGTCTTGCTTCTCCCAATGACTGAGGCGAGGTGGGAGTGTCTCTCTCCTCGGTGCCCGGCTTCACCGTTGCCCGCCTGCTTTCATCTCTGCTCGTGTTCATCCTCGCCCACTTACACTTACACTTGCACCCCACATCAGGGTACTTTGTACATTCGTGATTCACTTTCTTCACTTTCGGTCGCCCAGAATCCGCCAGCCTCCTGTTTACTGTTTCCCAAGCGGCGGCTTCGACCTAAACTTAGAGACACAGCGTCCGGTGCCGTCCTTTCACCATTTTCTGTTTCCTTGGCCTCCCACCTGCCCAGTGCACTAGTTCCTTTCTTCCATCCCTCTAGCCTTTCCTTAATTTCTATATTTGGGACATCTTCCTCGGATCATCGTCCGTGGTTGTTTACTCCTCTCGTGTTACCTCAACCTCACCTTACTTCTCAACGTCGATATCTACCCTTGCTCCCGCTCCCTTTCTGCAGCAAGTTTGACTTCAACGACAATCACTCACAGTCTCACCCTCGCCATCGCCCTCCTCCCCCTCACATCTCTTCCATAATCACAACTCAAGATGATGCGCTACGCAGCCTTGACTCTGGCCGCTGCTGGCCTGGCTTCTGCCCAGACCTTTTCCACTTGCAACCCCGTCAAGGGCGACAGTATGTTGTTCCCCTCACTTACACCAAAAGTGAATGGCGATTCTAACACAATCTTCAGCATGCCCTGCCAACACCGCTTTCGGCGGCGAAGCCAGCTATGACTTCCGCACCTCCAAGAACATGAACGACCTCGAGTCATTCTTCATCGTCGACGGCGGCATCAAGTACAACCCCAAAGTCCTGTCATTCTCCGCCGACACGGGCTGCGAGATGACCATCTTCGAGGAGAGCAACGCCCCGACCCTCACCTCAAAGAACTACCTCTTCTTCGGCAAGGTCGAAGTTGAACTGCAGGCCGCCCCCGGTCGCGGCATCGTCACTAGCATTGTCCTGCAGTCTGACGCCCTGGACGAGATCGATTGGGAGTTTGTTGGTGCTGACCAAACCCACGTTCAAACCAACTTCTACGCCCTTGGTGTCAACGACTACACCCGCGCTCGCTACTACGAGGTCCCCTTCAACCCAATGACCAGCTTCCACACCTACACCATTGAGTGGACCAAGGAGTCCATCATCTTCTCCATTGACGGAAAGGTCTACCGCACCGCCACCCCTGCCGAGGGCAACTACCCGCAAACTCCCATGCAGCTGAAGCTCGGAACCTGGGTCGGTGGAAAGGGCACTGCCCAGGGCACCATCGACTGGGCTGGTGGTCTCGCTCAGTGGGATCAGGCTCCCTTCGCCGGTCACTACCGCTCCCTCAAGGTTTGGGACTATGCTGGTGGTGACAAGGCTGGTGCCAAGCAGTACGAGTACTCCAAGGGCTCCGACGGCAAGTGGCAGAGTATCCAGATCATCGGCGCCGGCGAGAAGAGCGGCAGCCCTGGCAGTGTCGGCAACGTCGCCAGCCCCAAGCCGGAAAAGTCCAGCGACAAGGACGACAAGAACAAGGCCCAGCAGTCCGATGCCCCGACACAGAGTGCTAAGAACACTACCACCGTCATCCAGACTCCCACCACCAGCGCCCCGGTCGCGTCCTTGACTGTCGCCGCCAACACCACGACCACGCATGCTAATGGCACGTCATCGACCCTGACGAGACTGGTCTCCACCTCTGGATCCCCCACCGGATCTGTCAACGCTCAGACGACTCTCCCTTCCACAACTAGCGGCACTCCCGCTCGAACGAGCGCTCCGGCGCCCGCTGCCGCGTCCACTTTGCAGAGCAGCTTCTTCGTTGCAGGTGTCGCGGCTTTGTTCGCTGCCATGATGCTGTAATTGGATCGCCATCACGATCGGTCAGCTTTGCCTGCGTCTTCCATATGTGAAGACGGGCGTGTATGTATGTAATTATGTATAATGAAAAGGGACAGGGGCGTATTGGCATCGGAAGCCAGGCTTGCTTATAGATTGCTCTACTAATAATACCACGTTGACTACAATCTTGTTCATTCAGTTTCTGTACTTCGTAGTGATGTACGGAGAAAAAGCCTTGGCGGACGTCGGCTAACTACATGTTTCTATGTTGAATAACGTTACACAGCTGCCCGCCACTCACACAACCTTTTTCACTTATGCCCAAGCCCGGACAGCATCAAGAAAAGCCTCTTGTAGACTAACGGAGGTCCACGTGGACATACTCTGGGGAATCGAATTTGAGCCATGGATGGGTGAAGCTTAAATTCTACACGTCTCGAGCTTCGAACCCCTTTGGACTCGTTTCTATGTCTAGGACTCTTAATCCCCCTCCCCACTCGAAGACGGGACGGCAGAGATGGAGATTGATTGGGTCTTCTAACACCTTGCCATTTCAAACCTAGATAGATTGTGGACTGGAGCACCTTGCCGGAACCGAAAGTGGGTTGTCTGAGGCTATCGCGGAGTAGGTTCTAGGTAGGTAAGTACCCAACCTGGATGGGAGGTTTGATCCCTGAATGTGCTGTGCTTTGGTGCCGTACAAATCCAGGACTTTTTTTTTTTTTTTTTTTTTGGTATCATGGCTGGCGGACATGTGTACGGCTGGGCTGGACTAAGCTTCGTCTAGGGAAACTTTGCAAACCTGACTGTGTTGTATGATGGATGTGGGTTCACGATCCTGCTGGAGGGAACCAAATTTTGAAGAGTCGTCCAGGTTGTTTGAACAGCCTCCTGTCTCCGCTCTTTTTTTTCGTGAAAAAGAATTTAAGTGTTTATGTACCTTGGTTAAGCAGTTGCTCTGTATTCATTTCTCCCTTTGGCGATAGTGGAAAGATTTGCTACTTAAACATACTGTCAACCTAGTTGGGTCGATAGCAAGTCAGATATCACATCGATTCTTCCTCCTTCCTCATCGCCTTCCCTTGCCTTGATCTTTCTTATTCATAAGCGAATACCACAAGAATCACCTATTCAAGACAATGGAGAACCGCACTACACGTCCCGCCGCCGAGGGCGAGATCATATATCCACAGCCACGATCATACGTCTCCAGTGGCTGGGAATACCAGCAACCAGGCCATCACGAGGATGGCCGATATGAGGAAGACACGCCTGAGGAAGAAGATGCCGTCCTCGTAGCTCGAGGCCGATCCCCGCCGCCGGCCCATATCAACGAGGCAACAGGTCCCAGGACCTTGTTCTTCCCAGAGGCGACATCAGCCTCGCATCACAGACACGACAACGCCCTCGCCAGCGACGGAATCCACCTCCCCCGGCTCCGTCCCGGTCCAGCACCCGTCCTCAAATGGGACTCCCTCCACCCGTCAGAGCGAGCTCCATTGCGAGCCCGTGATCTCCTCCACGTAGTCGACTACAACTTTGGCCCTCCCTGGGCACGCCGTCGGATCGACGAGCACACCCCGTTCGCGCACGACGTCAACCTGCGGTATTCGCAGGCCCAGAATTACTTTCGCGAGCAAGAGGCTCGATGTCCCTTGATACCACTTCCCAAACGTCATACCGACGACTCTATCCCCAACATCGTCCAGGGCGAGCACCGCCACGTCAGAAATGCATCTTCGCGGCCGGGGCTGGCGTATCACGGTCCTCTCGTTCCGGCGCGGGAGGCGGAGTATGGCGGGTTGCCGGCTCCTCGACCTATGCTCCAGCCTCGTTTGAACATCGACAACCTTGCGGTTCGGCGTGAGACGCATTCCTATCGCTTGCCACCCGTTTTTGAGCATGGACCTGGAGAGATCTGGGAGCTGCAGGAGGTTCAAGAGGTTCAAGAACAATCCCAGGAGACTTATACTGGGCTCTTGAACACTCCCATCTAAGCCGCTTGAAGGTCTTGTCGAGGTTAAAACGCTCCCTTTCTTGATTGAACTTGCAACCGATGGGTGCGTTTTTGCTTCGGATAATTAGCTGCATGTTCGTGGGGCCAGTAGGAGGATTTGCTGCATGGAAACGGGGTAATGGTTGGATCCAGGTTATTCGCAAGTCTTCTTGCCATTCTTCCTTGGGCTGGTTTAATGGATGAGGTCATTTAGCTCTTGAGGCGATCAACTTCTCAAGTTCTGTATATGTTCAAATGAGTACTCCCCAGTGACTGCTCGATTTCCTGCGTTGTACTCGCTATGTAGTGACAACCATCTTCACCTACTCAGCAGGCCCTTCAACTTCTCCAGCGCATCCCTCTTCACCTCGTCCACAGGCGGCTGCACATCGACGCCAACGACGTCCGGCTCGTCCGCCTGCGGCGGGTCCAGGCTCTGGAATTGGCTGTGCACTAGGTTGGATCCAGCAAAGTGGCCATGCCTATTCTTGACACGCTCGAAGAGCACCTCTTCGGGCGCGTGCAGTGTGACAAAATGGACAAATATGTCCTTCTCCGGGTGCGACGCACCGCGTAGGACGTCACGATAGGCGCGCTTGAGAGCGGAACAGGTGACGATGACACCCTGGTGGTCCCGCTCCAGTTCCTTGAGGGCCTCGTCACGGAGGGCGTCGAGCCAGCCCCAGCGGTCGTCGTCGGTGAGGGCTTCGCCTCTGTGCATCTTTTCTACGTTCTCCTTTGGGTGGTACTGTTGACCAGGCCGGAAATATGTGTCAGTGTCAGTGCGCTTGTTGGCAGACATAGAGTTGGCGGTTCATCTGAGGGAGGATGGAGGGAGGAGGGGCACAGACGTCGTCGCCTTCGATAAAGGTCATGCGTAGCGAATCTGTCAGATACTTTGCTATCGTCGTCTTGCCAGTGCCCGTAGGTCCCGTCAGAAAGACGATGTGCTGTTTCGGCCGCGACATGTTTTAACGTGGGACTGATTCAATGCCGCTAAGATTGAAATGTCTTGGAGACTCGGCCGACGACCGGCGACGTAAACTGGAGCTCGGAGCAATGGTTTTCAATGCTGAAAACAGGGCTGACTTCAAGGTGCTCCTTGCTTTGAGCAAGATGCAAGTTGAGGCAAGGTAAGATGTGTAAAGCGGGTGGTAGAAGCGTTGGACGTCGATGCTGAAGCCAATGCGGCTACGAGTGGATGTCTCAATGGGGTAAACGTCGGGGAAAGAGAGTTCGCGACAGGAAGCAAGCTCTTCTCATCCAATTGAAGTGAGGAAGGTGAGAATGTAAGGTTCCTTCCTTTCCGAATGGCCTGATATGGGTGCTTTCCTTTTTGTGAATAAGCTCTGGTCCACACCTTCCTGCTCTTAGTGGTGGTGCAAAAGACAATGGAGTGGATGGCGTTCGGATGATGTCATGCGAAATCTAATTACCTATCGAGGCAAGTACGGAGCATCTAAGTGAGGTCGGGTAGGAAGGCACCGGATAAGTGTAGAGCAACTGCCTTACCTAAGCTAAACCAGGGAGAAGCGGAATGACGAGGAGACTAATGGAAGGCAAGGACTGGGACGTAGCTTTTCTCTCCTCTTCTTCCATCTACAGGACCAGCCGAACAAGCATCAGACATTCCAGAACGATATGACTACTTACGACGAGACAGAAACAGCCACAGAACCAACACTTGGACGGCCGTTGACGAAGCTTGCCAATGTCGAGATCAAGAAGAAGAGCCAATCACTCTCTACGACCGCCCCGTTTGGGTGCGGTGCTTCTGGCCGAGGGTAGCGGCACGGGTAACGGCATGGAAGATCCCATCAACCATCAGACTTTTGTGACGAGACTTTGGACACCTTGCGTCAAACTCGGTCCAATCCAAGACACCCAATCAACAATCACCTTATCTCGGGGCTCATCCGTCCCTTCCGCAACTTTGAGCCGCACAATGGATGGCTTCTCGGAGAAGCGACACAACAACATCGATGCAAGGCTCGCAAAGCGCCAGCCGCCGCCAGACAACGCTGGCTGGACACAGAAGCGCAGCCTTTATATACGAGATGGCGCCACAAAATTCTCAACAACAGGTCTATTAGTCTAGTTGGTTAGGACGTCGGATTCTGATTCTCAGAACCTTCCGTAGGCCCAGGTTCGAATCCTGGATGGACCTCATCTCTTTTGCCAGTTCTCAGAAATATCTCAACCGACAACAAAATCCTCTTTTTACATCATATGTTTCCAATCCTCTCCACGTTGGATTCCATCCGAGCGAGACCTGCTTCGTTGACTCGTTCCAACAATTCGCTTGCACCTGCGGTCCGAGACGCAAATGACGGATTTTCGGCCTGCATGCCGCGGGATCATGACAAGCGACTACGCACTGACGGGTTCTCGACTTGTGAAACGAACACTTCATCCCCGAACATGAGAGGAACATCATTCGCTCTTGTTCTTTCTCTCTCTCCCTCTCTTATTCGCAACTCAATAGCTGACATTGGTCAATTGAACTATGGGCGACACTTCGTCTATTGAGGATCTACTTATCGAGGGTCCGTCTATCCGTATCGCACGTCACCAGCGCCCTCACGGAACCAGTCGTCTGCCTCCAGCGCCTCCTCTGGGCTTGCATAGCTAATGATTGTGCTCTTGGTCGTCGTGTAGGCCTGGTATGCATCGATACCGTTCTCGCTGCCAACACCGCTCGCGCTCGTTGCGCCACCCCACGGACTGCTGGGATCGTTTCGATGGTGCGTATTCACCCACACTATGCCTGCGTCGATTTCTTCAGACACTCGAAACGCTTGCGCCACGTCCCGCGTCCAGATGCCCGCTCCTAACCCGAATTCACTGTCGTTGGCGAGTGCGATGGCCTCTGATTCCGTCTTGAACGGCGCCACCACAACCACCGGCCCAAACGCTTCCTCCCGCCAGATGCGCGACTTGAGGATGTCGCCCTCGGCACGAGACACCAGCACTGTCGGTTCAAAGTAGTATCCCTTGGCAAAGTCGATTCCATCCAGGCTGCTGGTTCCAGACATGCGACGACCGCCCGTAAGGGCTGCGCCTTCTGCAGCAAGCGCTTCATTCACAAGCGCCTCTACGTTTGACAATTGCTTCGCCGACACCAGCGGGCCCATCATGGATTCCTGATTGCTCGGTGAGCCCATCCGCCGGACAATGGATTCGGCCTTGGCTTTCAGCTTCTCCAACACTGACTGCATGATCCCTTCCTGGACGAGAATTCTGGTACTGGCGACGCATGTTTGTCCGCTAGCAATGAAGGACCCGAATGCGATGCCATTGACTGCAACATCCACATCGGCCTGTTCGAAGACGATCAGCGGCGCTTTACCTCCCAGTTCCGCCGTGTACCGCGCCAGATTGCCGCCGACAATCGAGCCAATGGCTCTCCCAGCCACAGTGCCGCCAGTGACGTCGACTTTGCGAATGAGCCGATGTTCGACGAGGGCCTTGCCAGTTGTTGCGCCGTATCCAGGAAGCACGTGGAACACTCCGTCGGGCACACCAGCTTTCTGTAAGATCTTGCCCAACAGCAGCGTCGTGAGCGGTGTCAGTTCACTCGGCTTCACCACAACGCTATTTCCCGCTGCAAGGGCGGGCGCTATCTTCTTGACAGCAATCAGGAGCGGGTGGTTGAAAGGCGTGATCTGCACCACAACACCCAGCGGCACACGGTCAATCCAGTTGTGCAGCTTGCCCACAGTTGGCAGTACCGCACGCTCTTCAGTGCGCAGCAGGGCGGCATAGTATTTAAACCACTTGACCAACGTGGGCACTTGGGCACGCATCTCGCGTATCGCGCGTCCGGTTTGGCGCACCTCGAGAGGAATCAGCGAGGGCAACTCTGCAGTGAGCAGCTCAGCCGTCTTGTCGAGAACGTCGGCGCGAACATGACGGGGCGCTCTAGACCACGTTCCGGCCTTGAAGGTTTCGTGCGCCAGACAAATCGTTTCTTCAACGTCTTCCAGGGACGCTGCGTGACAGCTGCACGCATTCGGACGCCAGTCAGTCTCACCCGTGTGGGAAATAATTGCGGACGGGGCATCGAAGTTGAGGCTGAGGGCTGAGAACTTACTTGGCAAAGATCTCACCTGTCGCGGGGTCTTCGACCGGGATCCTGTTGGCGTGTGAGAGTCGAGCATCAGCACAAGTGTGAGTATGAGCATAAGCATGAGCATGAGCATGAGCTCGAGCACAGATAAGCGCCCTGCAGCCCCTCGCGCGGGGTACTGGGAAGCTTCGAAAGGTGAAGAAAGGGAAGAAAAGGTCACGAACTGCTCTGCATGACCAGGCTTCTCCTGGCCTCCCACCCAGAGGTTGTATGGCTGTCCTGTCATCTTGTCTCTTGTGTGGCTGTCACTCAGAGTTTCGTCAGTTCAAAAAGCCACCTCGCAAGGAAAGGTCGCCCGCGGCGTGCCATTTACCTTTTATTGGGGTGCTAAGCAATCCATCTGCCTTTAGTTCCAACTGCGGGGAACTATGCGGGATGCATCGATAGCCAACTCCGGCCGGCTCCGTGCTACTATGCTCCACTGTGGGCATCCATCCTCGGCCGCGATAACAGAGTCTCTCTATTCACCTTACTTTCCGGGGTTGGTTCACTTTGTCAACCTATTTCGTAACACGCGATGCAAACCACAGACAAGGATCCCCATCAAAATGCAAGATCATAACAAGCTTAGAGGCTAGGGCCAACAGTTTCGCTAGCTTTGGTCTCCCCCGCCAAGCAGAGAACGGATGGGGTAATAGTTGACATAGCCCAGCCTTGAAGGTGGAACGGCTGCAAGTGTTATACTTCAAGGGGGCACGATCTCGCTCGGCTTCTGTACGAAACGCACACACTCTCTCGACAAAGCCTGTTTCTCGGTGCTGCAGCATCTGCACAACGCAATGAACCATTTGACCAACGGTCTGCTCAGACCCTGCTTCAAACCTACGGGAAACCTCCGTACACATGCAGAGACGCCTTGGAAGCTGCTGCCATGGACTTGGGCTTAAAAATTCCGGCCAAGACGGATGGCATCTCTTATGCCATATAAGCCGGTGTCCTACAACTTGGCTCGCAGGCCTGTGACGCCAGTCATTTGGATTTCTGTTCAACGTTTGGATTGATTCGCCTTTGCCTGGTCTTGTCTTGGTCTGCGGCTGGAAGTCTTGTCAGAGCTCTCGGCAGCCAACAACGACACCGCTCATCTTCTTCCTTCTCTAATCATCATGGATTACATGCGTTCTTTCGTCGGCCGTAAGCCCAAGCGTACCCAGCTGCCAACGGTAGCTACGGACGACGTCTACCCGGTTCACTTTTTTGACGATACGAAGCCTTTTCGTGAGATGCTTCTGAACTGGACGCTTCGCTTCGACGATGTCCTCGACGCAGAGAAGCTCAATCTTTCTCTTTCTCGTTTGATCGAGATTGGCGACTGGAGAAAGCTTGGTGGTCGCATGAGGATGAGAGTAAGTGTCCCCTTGTGTGTAGAATTCGGCACTTGAACAACGCTCTGGCAAGGGGTCTTGCTAACCCGAGCAATCATCAAGCCCGACAACCAACTTGAGCTTCATGTCCCGAAGCAGTTCACACCTGCTCGCCCTGCCATTCGATTTTCCCACGATGTGCACGACTTCAGCATCAAGGAGCACAACATTGCCAAGCACCTCCCCACTACCACCTCCACCCCGTCAATCCAGCCTGGTGTTATCAACTTCTATAACCTTGGCGCTCGTCAAGACGCTCCCAAGACGCTCGAAGACCTCATGTGCTCCGATGAGCCTCAGATTGCTCTCCATGTCGTCTCCTTCAACGATGCAACCCTAGTCGGTCTCCTTTTTTCACACGTCATGTTTGGCGCCGCGGGTATGCAAGCCTTGGTGCAGGCCTGGTCGCAAGTCCTTGCCGGTCGCGAGGCAGAAGTCCCTGTTATACACGGTGCTCACAAGGACATTCTCGACGACGTCGGCGTGGACACTGATCCTGAAAAGGAGGCATACTTGCTTGACCGGCGACAGCTCAAGGGTTTCCGCCACTTCAGGTTCAGCTTACGGTTCCTCTGGGATATGTATCGTCGTCCGGAAATCGAGTCCAAAGTCCTCTGCCTGCCGGCCGACTTTGTCGCCGGCCTTCGCGCTCGCGCCATGGCAGACCTGCACGCCATGGACGAGAAGGGGCTAGGAACTGAAGAGGCGCCTTTCGTCAGTGAAGGTGACGTTCTCACGGCATGGTGGACCCGCCTTGTCTGCCTCGCTCGTGGATCTAACCGACCTGTTACTGTTCTCAACGCTGTGGATATCACTGGCCGTCTCAAGTCTGTCTTCGCCCCCGGAAAGCTGTACGTTCAGAACTTTGCCCTCGGAACCTGGACCCTCCTTAGCTCTGCCGAAGTCCTCAAAGCTCCCCTCGGATACGTCGCTCGCTGCTTCCGCCACGATATTCAGACTCAAACCACGCCTTCTCAGATCATGGCTTTCATGCGCCGTCTCCGTGCTGGAGGCCGGTGCAGTTCTCAGCCGATCTACGGAAATCCAAACAGTATGCTCATCATTTTTACCAACTGGGCGCGTTGCAAGTTCTTTGACTGCATCGACTTTTCTCCTGCTGTGATACCGCGCATTTCTGAACCGGTCACGGTCAACGGCGATATTCAAACCAATGGACACACTACTGGCAACGACCCAGAAAAGACCGCCGCCAATGCCACCGTCACGGAAGTGCTCAACCGCCCTCCTCCCGGAAAGATCGCTTATCACCACTCTCTGGCCCGAACGCGCAGCATCCTTTCCCGCAATGTGTTTACCATTCTCGGTAAGGATCTCCAGGGCAACTACTGGATCTCAGCCCTCGGACACCCCGAATGCTGGGACAAGCTCGAGAAGGAGGTCTCCATGTCGTCCATGGACGCGCTGAGAAACCTCAACCCCCCGTCTGCGAACTAGACACCCATCATTCACGTGCCAATTTCCATGACACGCGGGCCTTGTCTTTCCAGACGGGAATCACAGCATGAATCAGTCACTCATTGAGATTCCCAACCCCCTCTTGTCGGAATCTTTTGTTTAAGCAATTTCGCCAATCCTTAGCCCGCAGCTTCGCAGGTGGAGAGAATGAGAATGAGAGAGTAATGGACCCAGGATAAACTGATTCCCAGGAGTTTTCGGGGCATCTAGCTAGCTAGTCACGTTTTTTTCTTATGCCGGTCACGTCTGGAATTTTGGTCTGCAATCCTTCCTTTGAGAGGGTTCTGCTTTTTCCGATGTTGCTCTTTCGATGATGATGAATGGTGAGTGGATGTAGATGTATTGTACGATATCCCAATTGTACTGCTATGAATAACTAAACACGAACTCATGAACTATTATTGTCGCCATGTATCAATGCCTATCTTGACTCTGTCACTCACGTGCATGTCCGCAATCCCCCCCCCCC